CCGGTGAAGCCAAAGATGTAGTTGATAGTCGCTCCGTAAGTACTTTGATGAGTTGCAGTTGTTGCTCAAACATTACTTTGAGTTGTTCTGCCTCCATCTTGCGTCGCCAAATATGTTACGGTTCTGTCACGCAGTGAGCAAACAATATGATAATGCGGATTGTGGCAATACTCTATCCCCAGCTATGTTGCTTGATCCAGACTCCTAGCACGGCGAATAGTAAGAAGACGAAAGCCTCGGACGCAAACTTTAATAACCCAACAACACACGATCAACAGGCGATGCCCGGAGCTTCCGAACCCAAGTCAGTGGAAAGAATGGTATCCTGTACGTGGTCGGATTTAAATTTCCTTGGAGTATCAATAGGCCATTGATTTTTCATAGTTTGACCTTGAAGATTCCAGGAGTTCGCTAGCACACATAAAAACACAGCGTTTTCTGGGGGATACTGATATCCCCAACAGCGACTGAGGGTAATTTTTCACATCAAAGTGACAGCATTCGGAATGGATGGCTGTTCATACAGGACAAATAACAAGGTCCTCGGTTTTTAGGTTTTTTTTCTCGAGGACAGCCAACCGTACTGGTTTCATCGCACAACAAGATAGAAGTTTCTACATTAAGAAAACGCAGTTTCCCTTGCTCGTTAATATAACGCTGATAGGGTGATTAACATAGTCACAGTTCAGTTAATTGAAACTGGAAGCGACTGGTAACGGGACACATTTGCCTTATCTTTCTATAGGTTTTTTCTAATGAGACTAACCAAAGCACTCATTTCATATGCAGACTCTCCATCGGAAAAATCCAAACAATGAAACATATTTAAGAAAACCAGTCAGCAGCGGCCCCAACAACGGGGCTAGTTTCGATAAGTTGTCTCTACAGAAAGATATAACTGGAAGGATATATGTTGGCTAGCTGTTATGTCGGTTACATCGTAAAAAATTACCTGTGAGATAACTCCAAAATACTACTTTAATTTTTGAATATAGGTACTCCCTTTGGATGCAAACGAAATGAGTGATCTTCAAGTCTTGTTTGACCCAACCTATAAAGATGATTTGCACAGCCGCCGGATTGAGAAACTGCTACAGATTACATATGAGGAGCATCCCAGCATGGTACGTTTAAGACTTCTGGCAAGATTTTTTGTTTGGTTAGTATCTCAGCGTCAGGTTTTGTTGCTTGTTTTCCCCTTTGAACTTCTAGTCTTGGTAATTCCGTTGTAGCTGAAATTGTAACCAGATTGATGGAGTAAACTTTTAAACTTTTAAACTTTCAAACTTCTAATGGAGTGGTATGGACTATCTGTCGTGAAACTGGCTATCCTTACATTCCACAACAGTTGGCAAGGAGCGGGCTTCGTCTCCTAACTCTGCTTCTGTGATATTCGTGCCTACTCATGTGCATGGCATGTTCGAGTGAATACGGTCTTAGGGAATTGGGGTGTCACTTTTTCTTCACCACCCAGAGCAAAAAACATCACATGTCTATCTTCTGCAATTTCTCTGTGTTCTTGCCTGACCATAAAGCAGTATCCGTAAGGTTGCTCCATCCTTCGTGTGAGCATTTGTGCCCCTAGCTACTAAACCTGCTCAACGTCTTTGTTAGACTAGGGCGGCAACAGATGCCCTAATTATATGATTTTGAAGATAAAGGTGGAATGGCATGTCCCGTGTAGCTATGTTCTCCAGGTGCTGAAGGTATTCTTGGGCATTTGTGCAGCCTCTATATCTATAGTTTAGGCGTCGTGTTTGCATGTGTAACGAAGCTATGTCGCATAAGCAGTGCAGTATTGCGAACAGTTTGCTTCAATAGAAAAACCTGAATTCTGTACCTTATGCCTCAGGCATCCTACTTAAAAATCAAGCGGTACTGATGGGAACTGTATAACTGGTGAATCACTAGACTAATGCTGGACTGAGTTTGTAGCTTCCTTGCGATGTTTAGGCTTTACACCACAGAATGAAAAAATCTCAACAAACAACAACTGTGGTTAACGAGCTCGAGTCTCGTATGGGTTGACGTGCAAACAAAATCGGGTTGGGAGAGGCTTCTTGTGTGATTCCCCGTTGCTTGTTTTACTGCTGTGAAGATATACGATTGAAAAGCAAGGTCGTCAGCCAAGCGCGAGGAGAGGGGGTGACAGAGGTCCAATCCTAGTAGCCGGACCACGCAAGTAGGACACAAACTGCCAAGTCCCACACTTCCCACCTCGCGGTTGGTGCCATTCCGACAGAAGCACGGGGTGCAGCACTGTTATCAGCAGGCAAAGCTTCGGCAGACGTAGCGCATGACAGCCACTGCAGATGATAGCGTGAGTTTTCATGATCAGACCCCTCCAATAGAAGACCATATCGCAGGGGAACAAATGACTAGCAGGTTTCAATGGGATCCAATTCTGAAAGAAATATGCCACCCCTCCTTGGAGTGTCCCCCATTTTGTTTCTCGAATTGGTGGTCGTTGGCTTGTTCACTGAGATGGGCAATTGCAAAGCAAACGTTTCATCACCAATCGAGGTGAAATCATCAGTGCATTGTTGGGCGCGTAGTTAGTTAGCACAGCCACTAACTCACCACATGACACACCCCTGTCTTCGAAAATCTAGGCTAAGTATCAAATGTACACAATTTTTTAGTAACGAATTTACAGTAGTAGCTGCCTTGAGAATCAATTTATTTATCACTTGAAGCACTGTGCTGTATCGTGTCAAATGAGCTTGAGACAAGATTGTCCGTTTTTCTTGTGAACCGAGACCGGGACACCGTGCACTGCATTTCTCCCGTTACGTGTCCTTTGCTGAAGAGCAATATACTGACTCGTCAGCAAACTAAATTCATTTGTCCACGAGTTGAAATGAACTTAGCGGGTTACATGGTAAAACTTAGTGTCCATCCAAGTGTTTCTGAACCACTATTTCGGAGTGCTTGGCTAAAGTTTGTCCGGTTTTTGCAGCCTGTGGAAAATTAGAAAAACCGATTCTTCAAGCTTAGCATTCGTTTAGCCGGCCTATTTGTTGACAAATTTGAATGTATTTTATTACGATTTTTCCATAGATAACCTTGTCATTATGTTCGCTTACAAGCACATCTACATTTCGATATTCACATGCATTCCATGGACAACAACAAAATAAACCACACAATGTTGTTCTCAAATAGGAGGTCATCCAAGACAGCTTAGTTGCCCTTTCAGCTAAGAACGAGCACCCAAATCGCTCCTAGGTTTGAGGAATGGAGTAAACTTCGTCGGATCGTTCGCTGAATCACTTTTTCACTATCAATGGCACTCAACGGGGCATTCCCCGCCTGCTACGAATGAGCAACTCGTGGCCTAGTGTTGCTAATTCATACGCTTCACTTTGCTTTCCAGAATACTGTCCAGCTGTTTGGCGAGGTCCACTTCCCAAATCTGACTTTTGATACAGAAGCTGTTCGGTTTGGATACATTCTCAATCACACCGAGATTACTCGTCATGTGCTCATGACTAATTCAAGCCCGCTGCCCGTTAGATACCGCTGGACCTTTCTTGTTGGAAACGAAGCTAACATTGTGTTCCGACGTCAAACTCACATTCAGGAACCATATCTATCACCAGTACATTGGCATAAAGCTACTGATGGAGATGCATCAAGGGATGGAGCAGAAGGTCCTCTAGAGGCCAAAGAAGAAGATTTGATAGACAGTAGCCTTCAAGGACGAACTGGTGTTGATTCACCGAGCCTGAGAATCAACGCAAATGAAGCGAATGGTGACGAACAATCAGGGACACCAAAAAATACAATTCTAGAAGTTCTCCTAGAACAAGACCATGATGTTATCCCACTCGGGATTGAGGAGATTTTTGATATCACGCCTGTTTTCGGGGAACTTGCACCGGGTGCAACCCAATCAGTTAGTTTCGTGTTTTACGGACATGCTGATATCGAGGCCAGTGTGAGAGCTATTTGCGAGGTCGATGGAGGCCCCACTTACACTATGGAAGTTAGTGGTGGGGCTTCACAAATAAGTTATCATCTAGACCATCAGGTAGTTGAATTTGAGCCATCCCGGTTTGATCGTACTGTAACACAAGAGCTTGAACTGAGTAATACAGGACGGGTTGATTTTGAATATGCTATTGGTCCCACTGGCACCACAGACGGTGTGCTCAATGTAGCACCTGCGCAGTTGGAGGAATACCAGGTGAACACCGGCCAATTGACTGTTGAACCTGCAACCGGATATTTAGCCTCTGGAGAAACGCGTTTTATTCGCATATCCTATCTGTCACGTAAACCGGAAACCTTTGTAAAATATCTGCAGTTACAAGTGGGGCATTTTGAACCGCAAACCATAATAGTTCGGGGAGTGGCTGACTTTCCCCGTGTAAACCTTGACTTGCCGAGGTTTTATTCACTTGGACGGTCAGAAGATTTGAAATTAAGAAGAACAGATACAAAACAGGAGTCAAACGGTATTCATGACCTGACGGTCTTTGAATCAAGCATGGGCAATTTGCTGAATGCTCTATACGGAGGAGTTCAGGAACTAGTATTCGAGTGGGAGAAACACAGTGATGTACCTCTTGTATGTTCTTGTCGTACGACCGCAATGATGCAACAACGTTTGCCGGCCTCAGAACACCAACTTACACGACGCAACGACCTTGATCCAATNCTCTTGTATGTTCTTGTCGTACGAGCGCAATGACGCAACAACGTTTGCCGGCCTCAGAACACCAACTTACACGACGCAACGACCTTGATCCAATTTTCTGCCATGAACCAAAATGTTTTGTCTCAAAGGCTATTCAGTTGGTTTTACATGGCCCGCTAAGTTCTCCCCGAAACATACCAGACTGGGTACTGCAGCGAATCCCAGATATTCCATTTCAAATGGAGGCAGAGCGATTTCATGTATGTGATTTATTAGAACAGCGCACACTGACGCCAGATGTATGGATCTCAGTAGACGCGGAGGAAAATATCAGCACACGACCTTATAGGACTTACTTTGATGGTTTGGAAGTATCCAGCAGTGCAAAAAAGTGAGTGCGATATTTTGTAGTACACAAGCTGTTCAGACGCTATCACTTGATTTCTTTCCTTTGTTTCATTCCCGGCTGTAGTATCCCCTATCACAAATCATGTTGATTCGTTTCAGCTGCATGCAACAACAAAGCAATTTCAAATTCTTAATTTGTTATTTTCTGGGTTTTAGCAGTTCAAGCTGCCCTGTACATCAGTTGAAATTTTCGGTTATTAACTTAAGAGTAAGCCCATTAGTCTCAAGTAGTATGTACGAATTTGTAGGAGCCGAGTCCGTTGTAGCAAAACTGGATCACGAACTCTCTAGTAAGTCATCAGCATAGGAAGACCGATGGCAATTTTCAGGATCCAGTTAGAAGCGGCACCGGGAACGTTAATCAGGTATGAACATGTCAGTCCATCATCAAACAGTAGTGTATATTGGGCCACAGTGCACCACTAGAGTGAAGTTAGATGACGGGTGCCGTGATCATGGCCAGACACGAGATCTACACTTCTGAAAAGTCCCAATACGGGTGGGACTCGAGCACGGCGATTCAGCCCTATTTAGCAAGGTGGAAAAATCGTGACGGGACAAGGGAGGGATCTTTTTAGGAAGTGTTGTACATAGGAAGCGCCTACATTATTGGTTGTTGATCAGGGGACAGTTGATCTGTTCGCCGAGCTTGGCCAGTGGCTTGCAAACGTTTCGTCACCATACGAGGAGACATCACACGACGCAACGACCTTGATCCAATTTTCTGCCATGAACCAAAATGTTTTGTCTCAAAGGCTATTCAGTTGGTTTTACATGGCCCGCTAAGTTCTCCCCGAAACATACCAGACTGGGTACTGCAGCGAATCCCAGATATTCCATTTCAAATGGAGGCAGAGCGATTTCATGTATGTGATTTATTAGAACAGCGCACACTGACGCCAGATGTATGGATCTCAGTAGACGCGGAGGAAAATATCAGCACACGACCTTATAGGACTTACTTTGATGGTTTGGAAGTATCCAGCAGTGCAAAAAAGTGAGTGCGATATTTTGTAGTACACAAGCTGTTCAGACGCTATCACTTGATTTCTTTCCTTTGTTTCATTCCCGGCTGTAGTATCCCCTATCACAAATCATGTTGATTCGTTTCAGCTGCATGCAACAACAAAGCAATTTCAAATTCTTAATTTGTTATTTTCTGGGTTTTAGCAGTTCAAGCTGCCCTGTACATCAGTTGAAAGTTTCGGTTATTAACTTAAGAGTAAGCCCATTAGTCTCAAGTAGTATGTACAAATTTGTAGGAGCCGAGTCCGTTGTACCAAAACTGGATCACGAACTCTCTAGTAAGTCATCAGCATAGGAAGACCGATGGCAATTTTCAGGATCCAGTTAGAAGCGGCACCGGGAACGTTAATCAGGTATGAACATGTCAGTCCATCATCAAACAGTAGTGTATATTGGGCCACAGTGCACCACTAGAGTGAAGTTAGATGACGGGTGCCGTGATCATGGCCAGACACGAGATCTACACTTCTGAAAAGTCCCAATACGGGTGGGACTCGAGCACGGCGATTCAGCCCTATTTAGCAAGGTGGAAAAATCGTGACGGGACAAGGGAGGGATCTTTTTAGGAAGTGTTGTACATAGGAAGCGCCTACATTATTGGTTGTTGATCAGGGGACAGTTGATCTGTTCGCCGAGCTTGGCCAGTGGCTTGCAAACGTTTCGTCACCATACGAGGAGACATCATCAGTGCGCAGTTGGGTGGGTTGTCTCCTCGTTTGGTGACGAAACTTTTGCAAGCCAATTGCGAAGCTCGGCGAACAGATCAACAGCCACCTGGTCAACAACCAATAAACTCACCCGAGCTACCAATATTTCAACACATTACCAAAATACCTACATTAATTTTGAAGATATTCTTTGGGAATGGATTTCGGGTATTGATCACTTACCAAAAAAGAGCTGGATAGTCAAGTTTATAGAAGCTGACAGTGCTGCATATTGCTGTCGATTGAGCAGTTATCCTGTCGATGCGCGATTATTTCAGTGCAGAAGAGAAGAACTGGATACCATTTTCCCACTTGTTGGAGTTCTTGGCAGTTTTTACTGCTGGCCGTACCGAGATATGAACTTCGGCGAGCGTGTTATCACTCTTCCACCAGCGCACGCTGGACCAGCCTGAATTATCACGTCTGAAAATGTGAACATATTTAGAATGGAGTTTTGAAACGGAACTTTTAAAACGGGTTTGACTTGAATGCGAATGCTGCGCAACCGTCTATCGACTAAAACGTCGATATGATGGAAATTTCACGCCAGTTTTGAATTTATTTCAATTGGTAGACACTGCCATCTGGTTGCCATACGACGCTAAACTTGACGACTATCTTCATTTCAGATTAAAACTTCCTAGCTACCTGCTCGATTTCGGTGTCGTGGTCTTCGGTGCGGTAGCCAGACGTGTCGTTCGGACAATTAACACCGGCTACGAGCCAGTCAGTTTCCGCTTTGACCCACCAAGTTTGAAACATGCTGAACATATGGGTTTCACTCCGAGCATAAGCCGCATTCGTAATTTGCCTGGAGCGCCCGAGCATGATTGGATTGAATGGGAAATCGCATTCGATCCTAAGGGAGCTAATGTCCCCACTGGACTCGTTGAGACTAAACTAATGATTAACGTGAGTCTAGTTGCAATCAGAAATCAAGTTTCCTCGGAAATCGCATTCGATCCTAAGGGAGCTAACGTCCCCACTGGACTCGCTGAGACTAAACTAATGATTAACGTGAGTCAAGTTGCAATCAGAAATCAAGTTTCCTTATACTTTGTTTTCAAATCTAAATGTTATGCCTTATCTGTATTCGTACATTGAAACTAGCTTATGACATTCATTTTATTTCTCTCTGTATTTAGGTTTGGTAAGTCCACTGTTTCGTCCACATATAAAAATGTGCTGGTAAGCTTAAAAATGGGTATTACAGAGCCGACTTCCGAATTGTTTGTGGACTGCTATAGGGACTCAACAGGATAAAGTTGATCTGAAGATCTGACAATCTGAATTGTCCGAAAAAACGTACCTCTTGGGGATTTGGGATTGTTCCGTGGAAATTTCGTCCTGTAGGTGAAGTCAATCTGTGCTGAAAAGCACGGTAAAACTATTTCATCCCTACTGGGAATCATCAGCATTGCGGATCTGCAGAGAGTGTGGAACCCGTGACCTGCCGGTAAGTAGTTGGGACACAGCCGTTCGACCATGAGCGGCTGATCAGCAATGCGATTAACTCTCATTTATACGGTATGTAGCGCCGTTAACCCTCCAATGATCCAGTCATCTGTCGATGGGTTCCACGATTAATGAATAATCACTTGAGATTTTTGCCCGTTTCGTGAAATTATTCTTCTTTTGAGCTCTTTACAGATTGTTGGATAATCAGATACTGTTCAATCTACTTTGTTCCCGAAAGGTACGGAAATGCTCAGCAATCAGTCCTTGATTTCGTGCTTCCACTATGACCTCAGTGGCTTCGCTGACAGTTCGTTTTGGTCACTTTATTGTTCTGACTCGCTATCCTGTGTTCTGCTGACCCTACGCCTGAAGTGCGTATTTTGAACGTATTCCAACCAATAGCGTATCGGTTTTGCCTGTTCTGTTGTCCCGAACCTCTAAGACGTTGGATGGCAGACGAACGTTGCTAAAAGGTGATGCTGTTGTTTTCAAGTGGACGTATCACCCGGGTGCATTTTCAACCATTTCATCAATGTAGTCCAGAGGAGAATAAACCAAAATAATTTCAAATTTAATAGAGATCTCTTTCTGTATGTGAAAATTATGCTGAAAATCCTAGAAGCATTGTACTACATTTTCATCCTTATTGGAAATCATCATCAGTGAGCATCTCACAAACTTACATCAAACTTAAAGCCGACCGTCAAACCAGAGCTGTTTCCGGCTTCACCGTGTTCTGACGGCACTTGAATGCATTTTGAATGCACGCAATTACATAATATGTGCACTTTTCCTGAGTAAACATGCAGTGTTTCTCTTTCGACTTGGGTTAGGCTGGCGACCAACCTGGATCCTTGAATAATGTCCATTTTTGCATGGATATGACTGGCAGCTTCATGCCTTGTGCGCCAACTTTACTTTATTCAGCTCGAATTCTGGGACAGTGCAGCTCTTGAAATGACTTTATGGGGAGCGCGACTCTGGATGCTGTTATTTGGGAGCAAGTACAAATTTCCGGGAGTGATTTTGTGATTGCATTAGTCCTGCGTTAGGTGCTCTTCAGCTCACAATATGAAGATATGGATCAAGGGGATGACGCAGCTGCCTATGAAAATATGAAATTCTAGTTTACTTCTAAACTCCCGTTTAGGAACTGATTGTAGAAATCCTTAAAAATAGTCTCTCACGGCAACCAAGACGTCGGTTTACAACAACCTATTCCACCACGCTTTGTTTTAATTTTATAATTAAAAAAATTCCAAACCTGTTTAGGCTGTTTGAACAATTTCCTCGGATTTGCCTATCTTGTACTCTCTTGCACTTACTAGGACAAAACGGTGGATTTGTGTAACTTTTCTTACAGATGCACTTTTATCTGCTTGACCAACTACACTTGATTTACTCGCCTCGATAGCTATTGTCATAGGTTCACTGATTTGTTTGCATTCAGCTGACAACGCATCGTGCCAGTAAAAGAAAAATGTAACAGAGAATTAAGTTTCTTGTGTTAAATGATCACTCTGATCAATCTATTTGGATCGACATCTAACAGATGGTACTACCAATCTTGTACGCGTTAACTTGGTGAAGGAACAAGAACTACTGAATCTCCAAGAATAAAAGTCAAACAAATGCATGCAGTAATAAAAAAAATACTTCAGGATGAGAAGAATAGGACCTATCGCTTATCAGATTTGATATGCTATTCTATGTGTTCTTCACAGGTTTCAGTTTGTTAATACTTTGTTACATGTTAACGGGAGAATTGTTAGTATTTACCAGAACTGTAACTTATTCAAGAATTTTATAAATCATATATAGGGACCCTGCGTACGATAGCAATCCATTTGATAATCCCCCATACACCTACTGAATTTAACGACACTATGGTGTAAATTACTGTCCTTTTTAGATACTCCATGGGCCGCTGATCCCCATTCACCTTCGGGCGCAGGTTGTGGTACCAGTGATTGAAGCACACCTAAAGAATATCAGCTTTGGACAAGTTCAACGAGGCGAGGCACGCTTAATGACAGTTCAGCTAGAAAATCCTTCTCCAGTTGCTGTCAACTGGTCGCATGCTGTCAGTTCTCCACTCAATCGCAGACGCATCCTACAAGTTGACAAACATCCTGCCTTCAATCCTCCTGTCTTTGAGATTATACCAAAACAGGGCAAACTGGAAGCTGGCGAGAAGACCAATGTTCAGGTGATCTCTGAATGAAATTCCTCAGTTTTACCGTGTAAAATCTGTAATAGTGCCTTCCGCAGATATGTCAACGATCGGGCAGTATACGTTGTAAGAATAATTTCGGCGGAACGAAATGAAAAAGGAGTCTGAAATTCAACAGAGACATATTTGGCAGAAGCTCAGAAATCACTAGATCGTGCATGTTCACTCAAGTTCAAATTTCGATTAGAAGACTAGATGAAAATGAAGTGAGCCGTGATCTATCGTCCGCCTGATAGCGTTGAAAAATAAAGTATAAGTAAGAAATGAATTTCATAACAACAGATGTTGTTTTAGGACGTGAAAACTTGAATATAGTCTCTCAGAATTTACAAGTGTTGGTAACACATTCCCTCTCCTTCGGGCTGGCAGGTGGAGTGGTCATGGCTGCAACTATGGATAAAGTGTTTCAGTACCACTCATGATAATATAGTGGTAACTGATGGGGGTGCCTCGTTCGATGGTCCCTATCGATCGATGGTCCCCTATCGGTCTCCAGTACCAGCCATATTTTGAAGACCTCATAGCGGAACACGAAGCCACTCGGCCTCTTACATCGTGCTCTTGTCCGATTTACTGCACCCAAAGCAGTTACTCGGCTTGTGTTAGTCTAAATACAAGACAGATACTAAACAATTACCTGATAATGACACAGAGCAAACTCCACTTTTAGGATGACACCAAACTTAATAAATGAAAAATGGAATCTTCGGGTGGTTCTTCGTAAAAAGATTGGAAAACCTCACGGTTTTATTCTGTCAAAATTCACCTAAATAAGATGGTCAACAATTTAATGCAAATCTGACCAGGTTACCCGGCTTACTTCCTTCAAACGTTGAGTATAATCTCTATTCTGTACACTCTCTGATTTTAGATCAAATTTGCACCGACAGAACAAAAAGCTTACGCCGAAAAAATAACACTGAAACTCAGCGAATCCTCCGAAATCCTATGCATTCACTGTCATGGACAGGGAGTTGAACCCCAGCTAACGTTTGAAATGACAATGATACGATTTCCAGCATGTCTACCATTTTCACAAGACAACGATTGCGTCATCACTGTGACCAACCCGTGTGATTTCCCCATCGAATTTTACTCAACCGAATTCGATCCAATTTCGTATGAGGTGAGCTTTGAATCGTCCTCAAAATCATGTGTACGTAAATTGAGTTGGAAAGTACGTGAGATGTTTAGTTGCGAATTTTCAATCGGATATTTCAACTTAACCGTTTCCTAGAGTTACAAAACAGTAGTCATCATCATCAACATTGTCAGCTGTAACAACCGCGTACTTGTCGTACAGTGGTTGTATCTGCCACAGTTTCGTTCACCAATGATTTTGGGAGGTGGGGTAGGTAGCTGCACATTGGAGACGGGAGCTGGTAAGTTCGTCCGTAAATGCAGCAATATCAGTGGACTGCTAAGGGTAGGGAGCTATGTATTGAAGGCAATAGCTTGGATGCACGAGCGCCAATGAGGGCGCGACTGGTCCATGTCTGACAATGTCCCTAACCATTGATTTGGCCCGTTTCGGGGTCTCCATCCAGGATGACGGCAATGACCAGCGCAGCTGAGTTTGCTAGTAATGGCTTCTATACGTCGCCGCCAAGTCATTTTTTGTGGCCGCTTCTGGCTCGTTTCCACGCTTTACATGGTTGTGCGAAAAGAGCCCTTGGTGGAAGTCGGTCGACTGAAAAACGCAGCACGTGACCAAGCCAGCGCAACCGATGTAGTGTGATCAGTTCATCCATTGAGGGTGAGTTATTTTTCCCGAATACCATTCGACGAACGATCTTCATTGCTCAGTGACCAGCGCAGCTGAGTTTGCTGGTAATGGCTTTCATACTTTGCAGTAGTATTGATGATCGTAAAGTTTCGTCCTCATTGAACACGCTACAGGATACATCCGTGAATATCCTTGGCATATTACTTGTGAGGCTAACGAGAACTCGTCATCTTTCACTGCCGGCTTATCGGGCTAGTTTGTGTATGTTAGTTTGATACGTTAATTTGCAACCTCCCACTACGATGCAGATATCTGTGTGCCTAGCCATTTTCCGATTGACTGTAATTTGATTAGTATGGAAATATGTATTTAGATGGCTAGAACACTGCAGAGGAAAGCCCTTTTGCGGCCGCAGCATTCTTGGCATGGAAAATTCTAATTGAATAAATAGAAGGGTGGCGTAACCCAAAGAGGGTTACTTCGTGGAGTCATTCCTCACAATTCTCTTATACGTTTCTCCGTTCCTGAGCATGTGCTTCCAAACTGACCATCCTTCCCCATCCTCCTCATTCACATCCCGTTTTAGCAAGACCAAATACTTCGAAGCTTGGGTGGATACGATACACATGGTCTGCTCTTGTTGCCTCCTAGAAAGCCTGGCGAAGGACTTCCAGAAGAACTGGTCTCGTACTATGAGCAGTTAACGGCAAGGGAAATGGAAAAGAGCAGAGACGGCATTGAAGATCCTGAAGACTCCGATGAGGATGATGATGCCTCATTCTTAAGGGTGAGCTGGCAGTCCCACTCAGCTAGTGTTTTGCCACTGTAATTCTTACTTGTCATAGCGCCATGCAACAGCCGCGGAATTCTGTACAACCCTTTGGTAAGCAGTTGGATTCTATCCTGTTTAAAAAGCGAATGATTTCAGTAACAAGGAAGAAAGAACGAAGTTGATCTTTGGTGAGAACACCAAACACGAGATCGTAGCTCACAGGGATTGCTATCCCGAACTCTCCCTGGTATTGAAGTTGCGGCAGGCTATTCCCACCTTTCAGTCTGATTGCTTGGTCCTCACTCTTTGGAAGTCTTATTCTTCGGCACATACAGCCGGAATAGTTGTCATATCATCGACCTCTTTGGCAGAGTTTTGAATATAACTTATCTTTTCGTCAACAAACCTTCCCTTAAATGTGTAACACCAGTCTCATAACTCATGAGTTGGCTCATCCAGGGTTTTATTTTCAGCCTGATTCTCTGCCGACGGCTGCAGTCCCTTTTTGCCGGGCTGAATCATTTCAACTAGACAACACTGCCTTAATTTTAGGATGGATGGATCTGTCGGTCAGCACAGTTAGATCAGTTACTGAAGGAGACCTGTGTGACTGAAAGATGATGGTACTATATCCATCTAAGTGCGGGCAAACCACATCACCCATAGACCACCCGTGACCACATGGTGCAATGCTCGGCTATTTATCCTAAGGTAGCAGGTTCGAAACTATCCAGCGTTCCCTGGAACGCACGCTACTGATAATTCCTAGGAAATGTGTAACCTCTCTGGGATTTCCTCCAGCTTCTCAGTAGGCTGGACTAGCATCGCTTTCCGGACTGGCCCGTCATATCTAACGAAACTAGTGGACCCCCGCGCAAAACAGGCAGCGCCACATGAGATTATCGATGAGCTTCATTTCCAGCCAACAGTACGCAATGTATTCAGTATAAACCCTAAGGCATGAAACGGAGGTGAACAAGAGGTGAAACTAAGCAACCTAACATCGTTGACGCACGAAAAAATAAGTCCAGCCAATCAAGCATTGATGATATCCCTCGCACGGGAATGGAATGCTTGCAACCAGGTTTCAAAGCTCGGTGGACGGCTGAACTGCTGTCAGTTCAACGATACAATGCGGTGATCTACAGTGCCTTTACAATTAGGTATTGCATTGAAAGTAAACTAAAAACTCGTTAACTCAAACCAGCGAAATTAACTGACGGGTTGCCTAGTTCTCTTTGAGGCCTGGATGATGGTATTTTCCTGACGGTAATCAGAGCCGTCTAGTACCCTGTGGCATAGAATAGTATCATCCACTGGATTGAACTTCAACTGGAATTTTCACATCTGCTCACGCGCGTAAACACTATGCTCCTATTCTTAAATTCCACTGATCCAACCACATTTCGTCTAGGTCGACGACGAACGAAAACTCTCGCGGACCACTACTAGCCTCACATCGGCGGAAATTGTGGCCACGACATTTAACAGCAACGTCTCCAATTCGCAAGTGGAACCCATAACACCAGATCTACTTCCCGTGTCTCTGGCAATTTCGCGTTATCTCGGTGTGAATCAACCTTCAGAGACAATTAAGAAATCTCATAAGGCCGGAATAGCCATCATTGTTCATGGTCCACTGGCAGCTCTGAGAAAACGTGAGTTATTTCGGGCTGCATTAAAGTTGTTTACGTCGACTTGTCTGTCTAATAGAACTGTATCAGTCTGTCTTTCTTATGGGTTAAATTGTAGCCAAACCAGGAGTACACATCACGTACAATCCGGAAAAGCTTTCTGGGTCAAGAATTCAGAGAGAAAAATTGAGAACTGCTGGCCTGTACGTGTCAAAGATTTATAAGTTTGGTAGCATCAGAGTATGTGGCATGGTAATCGGACCAATCCACATATTCGTTAAGGTCAAAGCCTTAAGTGTGAGGAAGTGAACGTCGGTTTCATCCCCAAATAAAGCAAGGAATTGGGGTGAAAACAAGCTAAATCAGATATACACAGCTTCGACTTTTGACACATCACTTTGCCATTTACTAACCACGAACATTCTCTTCCAGCCTTTATTCAGAATCTGGGGAAGGAGTATCAGTCCACAGTACTGTCGGTGGATCAGATAGTTCTCGAAGCGCTTGCAACCAGCTTTAGTGAGGCAGCGAATCGAGCACGTCAGTTGTGCATGGAGGCAGGGCGTATCCACACCAAAACCGAAGGTGTGATATCTTCAGGTTCGTGCGAAACTGGCCAGAAGCCACCCGATAATGATGAAGAACCAGTGGAGCATTCTATGGGAAAGCTTGAGACGTCAGTCGTATTCCAGCAGCGGCAAGGTAAGTAGCGTGCGGCAAATTATGCTTATGCTTATCAGCTGAACAACTCTCTACGAATATTCGCTTCGTGCACTGAACGAGAATAGGGGCTATGTACTGCTGCATTAGGGTAGCCTGACTTTGACGGTGTATTCAAGTGGAAACTGCTGAGATTACGTCTGTCCGTCATTTCAAGTTTACTCTTTTCTAGACGAGCATACCTCTTTATTTTTATTTCTACATTTTCGTCAAAAAAGTATGATGAAGTTGTCTGAAACTATTTAGGTCACTTGCAAAAGCATCGTGAATGAGGCATCACGATGCCCTTTCGAGGAGATTCCTACAAAACCAAGTTATTGCCCTGGGAGCCAGCAACAGCGAACCTGTCAAACATGAACTAGGTTGTGGACCTCGCAGAATAATTCAAATCCTTTCATTAATTGTGAAGTGTTAGTTCGATAGATTACTCCATTGGCGATGTGCCGCGATACCAGTATCTCGGATGCGTCAAATGTCTGTTGATTGGGTGTAAATTGACCTTTTCGCCGAACTTGGCGATCAGCTTGCAAACACTCCGTCAAAATAAGAGGAGAGATCATCACTCTACTCTTCGGTGGGTATTTCCTCTGGGCACAATAAACGTGAGACAGCCGGTCAGAACCAAAACATATAATTGCTTAAGTGAAGGCATCTAACGAGCCAATCAAATGTAGATAAGTCGGACGGGCGCGCAGCAAGATTTCAAATGGAGCAGTTAAATTACAGGCAAGCAAAACGTTTGACAACCAGTGTGGTTAGAAGTATAAAACATTCTTTAAGAGCTGTATAACTGTAAGCAAACCTGGAGGAAATCCAGCCACGCAGGAAAGGCGTCTCTTTTCATGATGACGAAATATGTGCAGGTTATTGCCTGACATCCGCGAACAGATGAACTGCCATCTAACCAGCAGCCGGTTTATTGCATCCTGATTTATTTTACTCTGAATGATGTTCTGGCTATTCGAAGCCTCACGCGCCGGTACTTGTTCAATCAATTTCAAGTTTTTGTTCAGCTAGACGCCTAGTTTGTCAAAGTCATTCGACTGGTGGTCGAAGCATCAACGGCAAAAACAGCCAACTCAATAGAAAAAAGAAAAATGTCATTCTTCAGAGATAAACTACAAGTTTCAAGACGTTATTCTAGAGTACACCAAGCATGAGGAAACCAATATCCGGGGATTGAACGTCAACTGCTGACCTCCAACTTACCAGACGTGTGTTTTACCGAATCTCGCAATTAATAACGGTCTATACCTGTTATACGGTAGCTGTTAATTTATTGGGTGGAAGACAGCGCAATCACTTTTGGAGTTTAAGTGCATGCTTGTAATGGAGAGCATCCTTCTCCGGTAGCTCAGATGATAGAATACCGAGCTGGTGCGTGGGTGGTCGTTGGTTTAAGTCCAACGACAAAACTGAACTTTTCACTTAAGCTCCATCAAACATCTCTTCGATCAAAGTTCGAAGAGAACCGGTCAGTCCAAACGCAGTGGTTTATGGTGGTTCAATGACCCTACCAGTGCAAACAGAGGAGGAAGGAGTACCATTAAGACCACCGGCCCTTGTTGTCTATCTAGCTGTTGATGAATAGTTTTTAATCCAATTTGTATGCTCGGCCAGCGTACACGAGCGATTGATGTTTCGTAACATGGGTCTGTTTGGTTTTGTCTGAAATGCAAATTTATCCTGATACCAATCGTACTCTAGTCCTGTGGTTTGATTTCTAGATTCGCCTCACCGGAAAAGTTCGAAGCCTCCGGAATTAACCAAACCGGCAACTGACACTGAATCTACACCAAGGAAAATGAGCACACACGCACAAAAACAGGAGGGAAGGCAAACTGTTTCCTCACCTCTTCAAGTGAGTGTCCAATCATCCCCCATGCTCCAACGTATCAGCATAGATGCTTGAATAAAAGAAATTTGCACGATTTGATGCCTCAGGTTATAATTTAGCTCAGTCATGAAAAAAATTCCGAGAAATACCATAATATACCGCTCGCGTCTATCTACTTTTCGGAAAACCCCCTGATGTCTAACTTTACTGGATAGTTGAAGGATAATTCTTTCGTCACTCCGGTGGTCACTAGATGACTTGCGTTGCGTTGTGGTCTGTCTACCCGGTGTTTGATCTGATGAGAACGATATAGCCCAAATGCTCAAAACCAGAGATACGGTGAAGAGCATTCGGACGAGATGGACTGTTGAATATTGTAAAAGAAAGGTATCCAAAATAATAATAAATACCATTCCAACAACATCTCTGGCTGAGTTCTTCCGAATAGATGGTTTATTGGGTTACACCCTCTGCTGACAGAATTATCAGTCTTCCACTGGCTGTCTTAGATTGTGCCGCTGGCCAGCGGAGTTAGCATACCATTCTGCAACTCATTCGGTCTAAATGAACTTTAGGGGCTGTCCACTGTAATTGAATGTCATCAGAAAATCGGGTTCCTGAAAGTTACCACAAAATGCCCGAAATCACCTGAGACCTTCAACGCCGATAGATGCCGACCAGACAGTCCTGATTTAAAGCCTGACAGCACGAGACAGTGTTTGAGCAAAGTCAGACAGTGTCCCTCAAAAATACTAGCGTGAATCCGTTGTACTTTGGCGCTCGCACTCGCTTGTTCGTGATAAAACTTTTGTGTTCCTTGTGGGTCAGTCTTTTTCCGGCAGTAGGCGGTCCGACATAACTGCTGTTGACTCAGCCACACTGACATCTACGTTACCTCTATCGTTTTATTTTATAGTCCCGCCAAACTTCAGCATTTCAACATTTTGTAAGCAACACTAACTCATTTTTTCACATCAGGTTATTATTATCTGCCTACCTCTAATTGTTGTAATTCTATATGTGAGCAGAAGAGTGACAACCTACTTGGTCTGGTGATTATTTATTGCTAAATGCTGTAAGGTTGTTGCTTCCACTGATTTCTTTTCTACTGAAGCCTACAATTAGCCCCCAAATGGCAAGTGGTCCACCTTCCCGGAGGATAAGCTTGACGGGGGTTTTGCCTCCCGGAGCACCAACAATTGCCCTCAGCCCATCTTCATTGGAAAGGGAAACTAACACACTTAGTCCAGAAGAGTTAGGGAGTCGTTTCATGTACTCCACCTTGCTACCGGATGATGTAATCGTTTCTCTGATACGGGAACGTATTTCGGCTGGCGACTGTCACAAAAGCATCCTTTTTGACGGACTAGACTGCAGTTTCACGAAGAGCAGATTGGAAACCGCAAGGCTCATATTGAAAGCTCTACAAGATCGACAGTATGTTTATGCGGTCAGTGCTATCAGTGATTTTGCCCACTTCAAAGCTTTGGAAGAACAAGTGCTGGCTACTCAGACAGCAATGCAAATGGCACGTGAAGCTGCTCGTCAGAAGTACGCAGATGAGATAACCGAATCCGAATACAATGAGTTATCCGAAGAAGAACGGCAGGAAGTAAATGAACTTCGCGTTCGTCCCCGAAAGGAGAAAAGGCAGGTGGAGTTGGAACAGCAGCGCCTAAGAGAAGAGCAAGAACGCATTGAACAAGAGGCAGAGTTGAAACGTTTGGAATTGGAACAGTAAGTCTCCGTTGGTGCTTTTACTCCTTGCGAGACGCTTTACGGTTTCAGTACCTTAGCAGTAAAGGACAATCATAAACCCTTTCTTTCGGGTTGTCTCATCTGCGGGACTAGTCAAGTTCCCCTTTCTTTCATTACACCGGAACCCAAAAATTGAGTTAGAAGTTAAGTGGAGAGTTTCGCTTTCTCAAAACTATATAATTAGCAAACCATGTACAGATTATCGGCCAATGTTGAGTCAAAAAATAGTAAACTAAACTGATGAAGGAAATAATGGAAATGAATTTTCAAATGCGACCACGCCCAGCTGGACTAAGTGCTGGGAACAATGTGCAGTTAAGTCTCGACAAAGTAGCAGCTTATCTATGGAAAAACGTTACTTATAAACATAAGTGCCCCCATAAAACGTGCATTTTTGTAGTGCGCCCTTTCTTTCGTGAACTGGCCACCGAAAACGGAAAGGATATAAGCAGCATGAAGAAATTTTCAGTAACTTTAGTAACCGCTAGCTTTAGTCATCACATGGTTTTTTGCATCCTCCAGCCGGAAATGAGCGCCAGTATCAACCGCAAGTCAGTCAAGTTGACGGTCTAATTCCGATTAATACTATTTTGCACAGTAATTTACCCTTGTAAATAGGTTAAGGTGATAGGTAAACGTAAAGCGAGGGGGGAAGGATACCATTACTAGACATGCAATTACTTTCCTGTTATTATGAAGGCAAAAGGTTAACTAGTAGTGAAAGCCAGATTCCCAAGCCCGGATTTCCGTTGTTTTAAGTGTCTTACAGCCTGGAAATATGTCCCTAATCATACTGGGTTCGCAAGTATAGAAGCCCACAGTAGAGGGTTGTGAGAATGAAACCAGTCCAATGGATTGCACTTTTCTTTCTGAAGGGCTCACAGACGGAAAGGTCGAAGGTCATCAGACAGGGTGCCTGGGGTAACTAGGCCCCAGACAACAACAGCAGCGACAACAACAACAACAACAACGGCAAAGACGAGCGAATCGGGAGATCAGAAACAACCGGCTTCAGGCTCTGTGATGACAAGTCTTGCGGACAGTTCACAAACGGAACGACTGCAGTCACAGCCGGAGAGCAGGTAAGGTTCAACATATGTCTTCACGAAACAGTTCGCTTCAAACCGCAGATTGCAATTTGGTTTCACGTCAGCATATCGTAGGCTTTCGCTTTTGTTTGATGAAGAAAGCCAGAAGTCGAGAGAATCAGTGCACAATTCTTGTTGGTGGCACCAGCAGACAGTCGTTGATTCAGGCAGTTTGACAAAACATCGGTTATTTTGAGTCTGCGCTGAGCCGTGTACAAACTGGACCATTAAAATACGGAGACGGGAAGTGCAATTGGTAAAACTTCGAGCTCATTTTTGTTGGTAGGAGAGAAATTGCACGATCCTTGAGAACAACTAAAGCATTTTGACAAGCAATCACTCCATGAGATTAGTTCAGAAATATACAAATCATCAATAAATTAGAATGATGATCTACCGCTGTTATCGCCAAGAAGAGAACTCAGTGAGAAATGCTCAATAGCCCACGGAAAATGAACGCTTGTCCGTTGGCCCAGAGTTAGAACTATCAACACCCTCAATAAAAAGTAATGAAATTGTCAGAAATTGTTGACTTTCAAAATTGCGGACCTACCTACAGGTGAACACGTTTGATCCATGAGCATTGAAGATGCGGTTGTTGGTGGGGAGATAACACAAACCTTCTCGGATAATTCTGTTCTCACCTCACACAAACAAGGCAAATTAGAGGTATACATCCATTTGCATACCCATTTGGTTTTGACGAGAGTCTCACCTGGAGTCCAGCTGAATCTCTCGTTTATGGTGTTTTTAAGCGAATTAGAGTTTAAGGACCGAATCCATGGTTCTTGTCATTTCGTTTAGCTCTTTCAATTTTCTACTCCAAGTACCGAAAAAATGATACGCCAATTATGTAAACTCCAATTCCATCCTCACAACACCACAGTTGGATGGCGTCCCAGCCAACAGCAACGTGCAAACGAAATCTGTCCAAATTAGGTGTGTCGCGAGTATTTTGATGCCTGAGAAATGTTGCTATTTTGAACCGAATGAACAGAAGCAACTACGTACAGCTAGGAACAAACGGTTAGGTTGACATCTCCCGTTTCAGTATATTTTATGTATTTTTAAAAAGACGGCTGTTTGCCACATGATTTTACTAGACAGAGCAATCAACCCAAATGAATTTGTGAGTCTTCTGTTGCATTTTTAGGCGCAGATTATCCCATGGGTCTGGTAGACAACGGCAGGCGGTAAACGAAGAACCTGGCTCGAATGAAAGTGATCGTCTGTTGTATCAAATGTAAGTGAAGTAGTCCACCTTTTTGAAATATAGGTTTTTCTTACCCGCGTTATAAAAAGAACACATACTGTGTCTTTTCCCACGAGACGCCAAACTTACTTATACAACTCTCAAGCTGAAGTCACTCATGAGGACTAGATTAAGTTCATAAGGTTTACAAGGTTGCTGAAAACCCTGCGACAGCCTATGACCGGTTTCGTCCTTCTTGGGGCTCATCAGGTAGGCGCAGTCCCCGAGTTTCCGTCAACCTTGAACCCAAACTTGAACCCAAATCAGTCTTTTTCCGAGAAATACACCAAATTGATTTGCAAATGAGTGTATTTCTCGAAAACAATTTGGGTTCAAGTAGAACTCACGCGAATTGTTGAAAAACTTCACTCTTCTTGAATGTGAGCTCTATTCTGCACGAGCTAGTGGAGTGGTTCTAACACTCCCGCCGCGCGTGTCAAATTTTCAGAGTAAGAGCTTTAGTAAGAGCGAATTCGAATTCGTCACTGCTTGGACTGTCACCCCATTTTCTTGGATGACGCAGGATATCCACAACAAAATTTATCGCGAAGGGAAACAAATCAAATGGCGGGCAGTGCGTGATCTGCACTCAATTTCTAGCCGACTTGTGTTCATATTTTACGCAAATCAGAGCGCCTCATGAGTGAAATGATGAAGAAACTCACGAAAAACACTACCAGTTTCTTTTTTTGTGAAGACTGCCTGTTTGATTGTAGACTTGTGTATTCTTAAGAACTCTTGACTGATTAGCGAATTGGTCATCTGCCGATGTAGATTCTGCAGTCGCAGTGCTTGACACCTGGAATGGCTTATCGAGTAATACTTTTCCAGCAGAATGGAGCATTTATAAGTTTCTAGTCACTTCAATTATTCTTGGATTCGTCATGAGATAAGGTACATATTTTACGGGCCACCTCAGTCAGCATGACTAGAATCAACCAGCTTGGCTCATAGCCATGGAACCTATGACCAGGAATGAATCAAAAATTTCACCGATGTTTGTATTCCCCACGCAAAAACAATTCAACCATTTTCCGACATGTTTTCGTCACTTTATCTGCACTTATTTCACACTTCGTCGAACAGTCTGGTATGAACCGGAAGGACCGGCGGCAGATATTTCGGTAACGTGCAGGAGTGACCAAGACATCTGGACTCAGATGCCATTGTCATTCTTTTGGTGTACTCGACTTCCTTTCCCTGGTGTGTGATAAAAATGTCGGGCTTTCGTTTTTTAACTAGATTCAAAACATTCAACGCGGAATTTCCCTCAATTTGTGCACTGTTTGGCAAGTGGGACCGTGTAACCACCACGGAACAGCAACTAACGGTCAGTGACGATATGTGCGAGGGTCCCAGCTCTCTGAGTGGACGACGTCATCGAATCGAAGGCAGTGCTCGTGGCAGTTCGGTGGGTGGACCAAGTAGAGTTCGAAGATTAGGACAGAAACGTGACTCGACAGAAGTGAAAACTGTCAGTCCTCTACTCCCAGTCTACTGTGATCAGGTAGACCAGACGAAATTGACTGCTGAACAAGTTGTGGACTCCACTCCTACCGATTTGTTGGTCCCTAAGGAAACAATCAATATATGTCCGACTTTGGGCGTCACTCACTTGGTAATCAACTCAAAACCCGAACTAATTTCGAACATTTTGGAAGGTAAGTTACCTGCTAGCTCCTACGGACAGATTTTCTAGAAAGCTGATTAGGGCTAGCAGCAAAGTAGAACACATTAGTGGTATGACACCAGCGAAATAATAGTTGGAAAAATACGGCAGCAATGATGCTATATCCCAGATAGCTCGCACTTCCGCCACTCCAAAGAAACCTTGACCTGTTACGTCAAGTCATTCTAGGTGTTAAAAAAACATTACCATTGCTGGCGCAAAAGAGAGGTAAAAATAGCATTTTATGCGTTCCCTTGGTCTGCACCAGCACAATTAAAAAATGTGGAGCCGAAATCCATAATACTGAAAATATTGTCATCGCCCACTCTTGAGACTGACCATAATGTTGAAAGTAAGTAAACTAACCACACTAATCTAGATTGTATAGGTCTCATCCTGGGGCTGTCCTTGACTTGTGACCGCAATCACGTTTGTCTTTAAGTTTTTATTGTTTTATCGGCTTTCAGTGGTCCTTAGTTGGACCTGTCTTGCAAACTTAGATAGGGTCACTTATGTTATCCTCACGCTGGATCTTATAAGTTGGTTTCTTTGGGATTATGCACTAGGTAAATAAAAATGTGCAGCCAGTGAATTTTTTTTGAAAATGCCACACTCTAACCAACTTGTAGTTCAGCCTAACTGCATAATTTCATCCATAGATGACTACATTTCATCTGGTACGTCATGCCGAGGTCTTAGCCTGGTCCTATTGAGGCCACGTGCTAGTGGATCCAGCTTATGGAATTGTATATCTGTGAGATCTAGGCGGTCTTGTGTTGTATCGTGGGTTGGCGAGCATTAGTTACGCCACAACTGAGCCCGCCAGACTACGCGGTAGGGAGGCAGAGAAGCCAGGACACGACCGTATCGTCAGGATAGTTATACGAAGCTTTTGCGTAAATATGATGACTAAAATCCATAGATGACTACATTTCATCTGGTACGTCATGCCGAGGTCTTAGCCTGGTCCTATTGAGGCCACGTGCTAGTGGATCCAGCTTATGGAATTGTATATCTGTGAGATCTAGGCGGTCTTGTGTTGTATCGTGGGTTGGCGAGCATTAGTTACGCCACAACTGAGCCCGCCAGACTACGCGGTAGGGAGGCAGAGAAGACAGGACACGACCGTATCGTCAGGATAGTTATACGAAGCTTTTGCGTAAATATATAGGATGACTAAAGGGCAAAATGTGGTCGCTGGTTTGTTCGTTCCGTACAGCCAATGGCGGCTCTCCTGCAGTGAACAAGCTCACACCCACTCTGCTGGTCGTTTGTTGCTAAGCCGTGTCTGGTAGGCTCCACCAACGTGCCTGCTATCCGTAACGTATGGTAGCGTTGGTGACCTTGGGGACGCGTCGTTCCCCCTACACATGTGTTACTTTCACATCTGGACGCATCCCGAGATCTTGTCACTTCGCCTTTCAAAGCCTTAGTTTACATGTCGATAATGAGTTTGTTGCACTGCCGTGCAATAAATGCCATGGCGCATTTTCTGGCTGGGCTCACCTAGCAGAAACTGGTGGAGAGATTCGTTCATGTGGATGCTGGCTACTGGTAACCTAGGCAAGGCTCTCCCCTACTCTGTTTATCCAGCTAACAGTGGGTTATGCCACAGTGTCGCAGCAGCCTTCCTTTGGTTTGTTCCATCTAAACGTCACATAACCGATTATCAACATATTTGGACCTAATTACCAAGCTTTTAAGTCGGATTTTCTCTCCCGTACACTGGTTTACTTTTGAAAGGATCACTTGTTTCATGTCTTTCACGGAAGGCGGGACATTCGAGCCACAGAGTTAGAAATGAGATGCTTTACTTAAATGTTGGATAGATTTCAGGGGTCATTTTTAAGGAAGGCAGTGTCACTTCGCATTTGATTCGTTTCCAAAGCTTGTCCGACACTATCCTACATAAGCTTTATCGAGGTTCTTTACATATGTTCATCCAACCAGATATAAAAAAAGAAATCTCCCCAACTGCTACTAATGCGGAGAATCCACCTCCAATCAGATCAACAATGCTGGAAGCTCTGTCGGTTGAAGACATATTTGTAAAAAGACTTCAAGAGAGGGAAGCGAGCGAATATCCACCGTTTGCCTTACTGATGCATTATTTACCTTCACCGGAAGAGATCTGGGACTACTTGGGCTTGAGGAAAAAAATGCCAACAATAGAAGGTCCAATAGACTTCTCGGTTGTGCAATATCCGCCGCCTAGGTCGCTTCCAGTTCAACCTGTTTCTTGGCTATCAAGGACACCATCTGAATCATCAGGAACGAGGTCAACTCCTACTGGGCGTCGCGCTGAAAGTTCGCGGTTAACTTATTTCCAATTCTACCCGTCAGGTTGTGGTGATCCGATTCCGGTAGATCAGAAAGCGCCAGAGGCTCTAAGGCTGACTGAAGAAACTCAGGTATTTTCGTATGGAGTTCTATACGTTTTTCGCATATATTGTTGCCGATATGGCCCAAACCCCATTACCGTTTGTGACAGGTAGGAAGGAGTGACTGGTGTGTGTTGTGTCGTTCAAAAAATTACTCCTGTGTGGGTTGAAGTAACAATTGTGATAGGTCGATGTAACAATGGGTCCCTTGAACAAGGACGAGAGTCTACAGCTCCATAAGATCTCAGAGTAAATTCATCTGTACGCAGTTATGCCTATTCACAATTCTACCCACCCTTGCTTTAACCACCCTCGATTTCGACCGAGGCCATCATCAAAAGTACGCTCACCTGTCTAACTTCCGTGTAGTTGCCAGACTGCCAGCCTCAGTAGTTTTAAGCTTAAGAGGAACCTAAAACTGCTAAATGTGAGATAACCGTTGGGAATGCACCGTCGAAACATGTTAGGTCGATATCATACTGAAAGCTATAATAAGGAAGCCTTGTTTCCCAAAATCAGTTTTAGTTACACGAAACTTTTATGACCGCCCGAAATAAAAGGCTGCCATACGCAGGGGAACCATCTGACAGTTCCTCAGGGCACCACCAGTCAGACTGCAGCTTTCATCTCCTCAATGACCAGATGTTGAGAGCGGTATTGTGGAAGCGTTTATCACCATTTGGTTGAGATCGTTGTTCCATTTAAGTACAGTGTGGTGGATAATGAACTGATTATTTATCCATCATCTATCCTCTTGGAAGGCCTAACTTCATGACCTAGACTAGATATCGATCAGTGTCGAAAAACATCAAACTTTTACCATCAGTTTTCAAGGGTAATGACCACTGGACTTTCAGCTTTCGCTGTATTTAAATTCTAGGTTCAAATTTTCATTACTTCATTTCGCAATGCAGAGTTTTTGGTCTTTCCCAGTACGAAATTCCAGGTACCTTTTGTTCATACGACGGCAGACGATGAACTCATCTTGAGTAGTAATTACAATCGTCTACCTGGTGATGACGAATGGTCATTTGACACGTCCAAGAATTGGCGTCTAGACGAATATTGTCTACCTTCATATCGTCCTTCGCAACAGAAGAATGATCAACACAATCAAGAAGAACCGAGATGTTTATCGCCTTTGTTTCGGAAGCATATTTAAGTAAGGTTGGCGGGGCTTCAATCCTGTGCGGAGCCTTTGATTCAGTAGGTTTGCTGCATGACACGCCCCTCAGAATTTCCAAATAACCTTTGCGTTTTTATCTACGGTAATCCATGTACTTATGTACTTTTGCGAATGGTCTGGGTCACAACCTCTTCTTGTGGGTAAAACTGAGCCTCAAGGAACAAAATCTTGGATTTCCTCGGACTGATGTGCAGCATCTCCGAACGTAGTAAATACGACAACCTTTCTGAGGAAAACGCTTGTTAGGACCAGTCATAAGATATTTTCTGGGGGTTCCTATGTGGTCACCTATCTTTGTAACTGTCAGCCTATCTTATATGCGATCGGCGAGTAATACAGTGTAACGTGTGCTGAAATTGCCCAGAGAATAATGTGCAAAAAGGTCAATTCCTCTAACACAGATTACTGTATGACATGAACTAGTGCACTGTCCCTCGACACCTTTCCATCATTCTCACCAAACATTCATTATTTTCAAAATTCTCTAGATTGATGAGCAGATCTTGAAATCACCGCCTCACGTTGGAAAAAAGTTCAAATCGCCAAGAGTGGAAAGTGGCTCGTCGGTTGTGACCACTGCTAGGAAAAAAAGTAGTCCGTCGCGTGGGCGGCATAGAACAGGCGCGTCCTCCAGGGACACAACACCTACGGACATTGCCACCTCTCTGAGTGAACATGCTTCTCGTACGACAAGGTAATACATTCAACTTTAGGTATAGTTTTTTTTGTTGAAGAATGATAAGTGAGCCTCCTTACTCATCTCCCTCCCTAAGAACGTGGGAGATATAACTTCCATGTAGATCGCCCTCGAGAGACGACTTTTACTCCCCTCTAGTCTGCTCTTGTTACACAAAAATCACAACTATACCACCGGCATTGGGAGAGTCAATCCGTTGTAACTGTTCAACGAAACGTTTCCAGTCCACGATGGTTGAGCACTATAGTCCTAGATGTGCGAGCACTCTGTCTAATTTTCCTATGTTGGTTGCAAAAATTATTTGCCTACCTATGCCAATGAATGCACAAAGGCTGCAGTCGCATGCATCCGTCGAGGGGACCAACTTCCAGAGAGGACGACCACGGCAAAATAGTTTTTTGAAACATAGCTTACTAGTAGTGTTATGCCAGAAGAAACCATATGCGGAATAACACTTTCTACGCGTTCATTGAAGTGATTTTCCCCCGAAGGGACATTTATGGTGATACATGCTCCATTCAGGTGAACATCAGTTTACTGCAAGTCTGCAGCATACATCACTTTGCAGTGATCGTGTGTCGTCGGTTCCTTTGGTGTGTGTTTTGAGAATGGGCTTGTTTAGACACGGTGGAGTTGTTCTTATCAACACTGACAACCGGCAGATCTCAATCTAATGTGGTGAGTAGTTATTCATATCTTTGCAAAATTAAGTGGGAATTTCGTGGTCACATAAAGTCGACTAGTATAGTGTGTTCAAGTTCCTTGTATCCCTAGTATTAATCCCTCTTTGGTGGTGTGCAAAACCTTTAGTTAGTACTGCCGTTAAACAGCCCAGTTCAAATGATGCGCAAGCGGTGCGCTGGCCCCCCTACAGTTACGTTTGGCCAACCTCCAATTTTCCTTAAAATCAAGGAGAGGCGTTCTGGCCTGATGGGAGTTTAGGACTCACATGATATTCTCCTGTTTGAGTGAACTTTTCCTTGCTCTGCACCATAGTAAAGCAAATGGAATGTGTCGCACAACATATTATATTAGAACCGATGGAACCATTCTGATCGTCATCCGATACAGGCTGGTGGTCTGGACTTTGTAAACTCTATGCGTGCTACTGTTCCATTGACTTGGACTAACCATGCAGCTGCTACATTCTGGACTGCTGACAATTGACTTGGACTAACCATGCAGCTGCTACATTCTGGACAGATCGAAAGATAACGATCACACCAAATGACACCTTTCGCGAAAGGTTTGTTTGGCGATTCACCAAGGTCAACAGGGAGGTCTCCAGCGCGGGCAGAGCAACAGCGATTTGAAGGACTGATATCATGAGCGAGATTTTGAGTGGAACTAAGCTAAAACAAAGAAGCACGTACATTTGTTTCATTATTATTGGGAATGATAAAAGGTTGAACCTTGATCTCCGGGTAGCCGTTGAAGACTATAATGTTCGGTCGGAGGGCGAGATGTCTCAGGTCAGTTCACTGACCGAAAGGTCCGTGGTTCGAACCCGACCTCAGCCTCTCGACTTCTCCTGTCTAGGCTTGGGCAACCTGGCATTATCTGAGCCATCGTGCTTCCTTCTGGTGGCATGGCAGTTGGGCATCGAAAGGGCGCTACAGCTAGACGATACTGTTCGGCGACGATCGGTTGTCCAGCAGTGTGGGTAACTCGTAAGTCAACAGGTTATACCGCCACCCATCCTCCACTCACGCGACCCACATCAAGTGCTCACGTCCTGCGTGGCTCATCTCAGATAGGAAGTTCACGTAACTATTGAATTACTCCTTCTTCTGAGCTACTAATATTTTTTCTGTCAGAGATTCTGTAATTCCAGTCATGATTCTGTCCTGAGTGGCTGTCACTATTTCCTGTCTGAGTGCTGTTTAATCACACTGCCGATCAGCCAGTCGTGGTTTATTCTTCAGTCTTATACTACTAACCGGGAGGTCTCGAGTTCGAATTGCTATGGTGATGTTATTTAACAAGAACAAAACAGCTCTTTTCAGCCGTTCGGCGTAGATTGGCTTCAATTACAGGACTAAGTATTGTTTGAAATTTCCAACTGTCCTCATGCAACGAACGAAATCGTCCAGTAAAGCGTTGAATTTTAAATGGTCGACGTGATTCCCGCTTGTCTCTTCTTCAAAGACTGAAAACTCACGATATCAGCAAAAATCTTATTCGAAAAAGCATGTCAATAACCAATGTACATATCGAGAAATTTCGGTTTGGTCGTCAACTCGGAATCACTTGATTGGGCCTATGTCGTGATAGTCATCAGCATTGTGTAGAGTCCGTTATTATCAGTTTTTGTTTCGCTGAGTTGCTGTGTCATGAGGCTTGTGCCTAACGAAGTGAACTGGAATGACGTGTCCGTTTCTCTTCTGTGGTAATCACGTTGTGTAACCATAGCGTACATGTAAGCACAATCTGTGATCAATACAGTTGTCCCCGTCATTTAGAACAGACATCTAAATACTGAGGTAAACTCCTTACCAAAGTGAGAGCAGCCAAAGCACTTCTTGTCCATGCCACGATTTCTCCCTATAATCCTCTATTTATCCGCAACTTTTGGAAGTGAGAGTCAACTTTCAGGGGAGCTAGAGGTCATAGGTCTGAGGTGATGTTGGCCAATCTCTCAAAGTGAATAGGTGCCCAGCAGTTGTCACGGACGAAGAAACTTCCGCTATCCTTGAACTTTCAGTTCACCAAAGCAGTGTGGCTGGTGTTCGTTTATCCACCAGAGTGACTGTCTGGCCATTTACAGGCGAAAAACGTTTCTGTTTGCACAGAGGTTACAATCAAACACATCAAATTAGATGGTGGGACGATTAGGCAGTAAACAAACTCTGCAACAGAAGTGAATAGCAGTGTGGTCGGTGCATGAATCTCGACTTACCGGTAAACGATGTGCTAGTGGACTCATTGCACTCATATGTGTGTGTGTGTGTATACATATACACTTACGAGTATGTGCATATGTACACCTATACATATACATATGTATACACACTAAGTTACACGTATATGAATTGGGGATTGCTTTGAGTTCTTTCTGACAATGCCATTGAATAGGTTCAAGTCTACATATACGTTACATCCTTATCAAAGCTATCTATCAGTATACACTTCCCAACTCATTAGACTCGAGGGACAGAATTTTTCTTGATAGAGTGACTTCCTCTAATATAAGTGACAATCACATACAACAACAAATGAAATTTAGCTACATGTGTCACAAAGTTGGCCGTCGGGTACTGGATCGATATGGATTGCGGTAGTTTTGCTCTGAACATCGTTCATCATCATCTTCTTCACCGGTAACCGTCATATTAACTTGAAACAGTAAGCCCCCGTTAGGCAGTTTCAAGATGCTTCTGGACCATACTGTCGGGGTAGAAAACCTCAGTTAGTTGTGAACCCCCTGATTGTTGCACAGAAAGTCCAACCGTCAGTATGTCTTGTCTAAATAGTCATCGATATTTACAAAGGACTTGATAGTTACCAAATCGTGATCCTGAATTTCGCCCAGATGTTTCAGCGAACATGTCAGGTCGTTGAAAGCTTATCAACAATTGCATTTTGGACTCAACCGGTGTGTGAATCTCTCAACGCAAGGTCAATTTTTCGGAAAATGTTGACATTGAGTCAATCCTACAAGGCAGTGTTTGGCATAATACATTAGTTTTGGAACTTCAAGAAACATAGTCAGGCACTAACCGGAATCTAAAGCTTCTAAGTCTAATTTCTCTCATCTATCTTGTCTGGACCGAGCAATAATATAGAACACCAAGGATATTGGTGCATTACGTTCGTTTACTCCGTGTTCTGTGATGGACCAATGTTCATCGGGAACATCTGGAACTAGCATACCAAGCCCCTATATACTTGTCTGATTGTTTTGACACGCTTCTGATGGCACCCGTCTAGCGAGCTTCTGGAGGCTTCTTTCCTAAATTCAGGCAATAATTTACTACCTTTTGCGGTCACAAGTAATCTAGGTTGCTTACTTTCCCCATAATAAGTTGGACTTCACCTAGTGAATCTTTTTTTCTAGAACTAAGTAAAATCAGTCTGCGTACTGCTCAAATTTAAACGTCCTAACAGTTTTATTCACAAATCTTCTATTATAGTTTGCTCCAATTTTTTAAAATAGCTTCATGAATGCATCACTTGTCTGCCAACTTGTTGACTATCTACTCTTTTTGCAGCCCAGATATCGCACAGGTCACAGGTGAAAAAGATAAACCGTGAGTATTCTTTAATATACCTAATCCTT